ATATTTAAAGAGTCAAAATGAATTCTAATAAAGTCAAAATTCGAATTCAGGAACAAATTTGAATAAAACTAAAAAAAATGCAAAAAACATGAAAATACCATCAAACTAACTCAAAATCGAAAAACGCTAAAATGGACCACTAAACGATAGAATTTGACCTCCAAAATCTAATGTGCAGAATAAAAAAAAAAGCTTACAAATTGTACTCGCTCACGAAATTCCGACACACGAATTGAAAGTTATGTGCATTTTTGTAGGTCCTTACTTTTCTTGTTCAATTGCTTTAAAATTTTCTCTTCTAACTGTTCCGCATCAACATTAGAGCATAAAAAGGAAGAAATGCGAGTTTCTCACCGTCATTATATATACTAATTCATTTTATTTTATCCCTAACTATGTCGCAATTAAATTAATATTTGGTTTCAAAAGAAATATCACGTTGAGAATTATAGGGATGAGGCAAAATAAACCATTTTATATTGTTTTATTTTTTCCTGCCATTTCTTCATATAAAATAAGCCCAAATGATTAAAAGAAAATACAAACCCAAACCGGCCGAAAACAATAAAAAAACCTAACACCATTTTATTGTAAATTTACTTTCGAATATTAATTCAAACCGGAACTCCATTTCTAGATACATATATTTTGTTTTTGATTATGCTGGGAGAAGGGTATGGAGACAAGAGGGATCGAACCTTCATCTTCGCCTTCTATTTGAGAAGTTTTTACTTGTATCACTAGATCCAAGTGTTCTTGTCCATGCGATCTTCTTTTCGGTTCATTAAAAAATAGAATGAATAATTTATACTCGAATAAATATTATCTGATCGTACAGAATAAAATAGAAAATTCATTGCTCGTGCAATCGCATATATCTCAACATCTCTTAAGTATTGACCCTACATGACATAGGTGAGGTGCTACGACCCGCTGCAATACAATTCCAAAGCCTGTAGCCTCTAATTATGCAAAAGCATCTTCTCGTTTCATCTCTTCCAAGAAACAATTCGTATGTCCTGAATAATTGATTGACGTGACTTATCTTCAACAAGCGTTCCTCAATCAACGTATTGGTCTACTTCTCACATGTCAGACATAAGCATTATGGATGACCACTTTTTAGAATGATTAAATGTCTCAAGAATCAAGCATTGTAGAAGTGACACAGGATAAGACGTCCCGACCTTAAGATGAGGCCACATATCTTTCATTCAACAGTAACCATTCATTTGTTCTAATATAAATGCTCTAACTTTGTATCATTCGAAAGCAATGCAATTTATACTCTCAAGAGTATTATTACTAAATTTTGTTATTTTCTCTCTACAACACGGTGAGATAAACACATTATCTCAACGTTGAGACTGAAAAATAATCTTTAACAAATTGTTTTAAAAAAGAAAAAGAAGAAGAAGAATTTGAGTAGAAATTGTTTTCAATCCTACGGTACCCTATCTTCATTGTTAAGAATTAAAAGCACATGCCTATGATCTTATAATCTTTAATAATTTATAGAAAGCAAAAGGGATTTCCATTAATCAAATCAAAAGACCTTTTGGCTAACCTTTATTTACTTTCATCTTTAATCTTTATGCTCCCACTTCCAAAAATGCTTTGTAACTCAACTGATGTAGGGCCCATTTTTGAGTCTTTCAAACCAACAAGATGATGACGTGGATATCATTATGTGGACGAAAAGTCCAACATTAACTTTATATACTCTGTTCTTGGCGGCTCCCATAATATTATACTCTCTCTTTTCAGTGAATTTTATGTCTAAAGTCTTGCATTTTATGCACTTTTTGCTCTTTGCTTTTTTATTTTAATTTATATTCATACTTATGAACCCTTCACATATTACTCAAACATATAGTATAATATCAAAGTGTTATTAAATTCAAACGAGCAAATTCATCTGCATAAAGTTCAAATAAGTTAAACGTGTTTAGACGAGCTACTATCTTAAAAATAGAATCTCATGTCGAATACAGATGAAATGAATAAATATCATATAAAGGTTAGGACGACTCTTAAGATTGACGTTTAGAATGAAATCCAAGTCGTAATATCCCGTCGCACCCGAACAATGCACTTTTTTTTTTTTTTTAAGGTATATATTCACCCCTCACTCTCAATATATAGAGAAAGAGATACAGTCATATAGACACCCATATATATAGATATCAACCACCTAAGACTTCTTCATCAAACATAAACACTCTTTCTCACTCCAAATTCTCTCTCTCTAGATCTCTTTCATAATATGGCTGAGGTCCAAGACAGCAACAGTTCATCAGGGATCAAGTTATTTGGTGCAACGATTGCAGTGCAGGTAAATGATCATCGTGGGAAGGATGATGATCATGCAAAGAAAAGAGATAAAACCGTAGAGAAAAGGCCAGACAAGATCCTCCCATGCCCTAGATGCAAAAGCATGGAAACAAAATTTTGTTACTTCAATAACTACAACGTTAATCAGCCAAGACACTTTTGTAAAGGCTGCCAAAGGTACTGGACCGCAGGAGGGGCCCTCCGGAACGTTCCCGTCGGCGCCGGTCGCCGGAAAACTAAGCCACCGTGCCTGGGTCTGTTACCTGAAAGTTGTTTGTTTGATGCTTCTGGGATGCAGGCGCAACAGATGGAGTTTGATTATACGGTTGTGGAGCAGTGGCAAGTGGCGGAGCACGACGGTTTCCTGCATCGTTTTCCTTCGAGGAAGAGGAGAAATACCTCAAATAGTCAAACTTGTTGATGAATGATCTTCTTCTTTGTCTTGTAGTTGGAAGGAAAAAAATATTTCTAGTTGCCCAATCTTCTTGAATTGTAGCCATGATTAGATGAACTGTTCAATTTGAATATTAAAAGTTAAAACAGTAGATTAGGTAAATTTTATATGATGCTGAGAATTATGAAAATCTATAGTAAGTTGAGCTGTATAGTAATCTAGTTTGTAATGGTCCCAGCTGGTAATGAACATCAACATTTAATGCAAAATTAAGTGCTCCATTAATTAAGATTGCAGGCATAAGATTAACTAAATATTTAGGAAGAAACGAGATAAAATATAAAACATTGGTTGTACTAATTAATTGATAATAATTATATAAATATATATTATAGTATGTAAAATAAATATGAGAATATAAAAAAAAATAGATTAATTAATAATTGTTGACAATTAATCATTTCTTTATTTTTATAGGAAATTAAGAAACTCTTTCAAAAATAGAACTATCTTTTTGACTATTTGTGATTGTTTTAGAATGACGGTTAATTTCAATGATGGCCACAAAACTTTGCATTTAGTGTTAACTTTTGTCATTGAACTTTAATATGTTTCAGACTGAACACTAAATTGTACAAAATGTTTCATTCATATCATTGATTCGATTTGACATTCATTTTCAATTGAAAACCTCATTTATTCGTGTGCCAAGTCATCAATTCAATTGGATTTTTAGTTAAATCCTTATGGCACACAAAAACATTGAATGTTAAGTTAAAAAATAAACGTTAAACTAAGAATGTGTTGTTGAAAATGAGAACTGATTTACTGTAGAAAATGAGAATCTGTACCAAATAGGCTCTAAATCGGTGGCCAAAATTATACTAAATGTAAATTTAGTGATTAATGGTGAAATTAACCTTGTAAAATGACCATTAGTATGAGGAATATTGCATTCTTGATAGCAAAGAGAAATTATTTTCTAAGAGATTTTCCATATTGACTTTTGTATTGGAAAAGATGATTAATCAAACGAAAAGACTAATAAAGATTCTTGAAGCAAACATTCTAAAGGAAAAAAGACTTGGGGGTTATCATAGTCAAGAAACTTAATGGTTAGCTTTAATAATCTAAACTAGTCCATATCCATAGTACAAAAAATTGAAGAACATAGAGATTAGGGAAAAAGCAAAGTTGTGAGTAAAAGTGCAGGATGAATTGGATGAGAGAGTACAAGTCAAAAAGGCACGTGCTGGATTTTCATGTTGTTTGAGATACTTTTTGCTTTTGTTTCAAAGTTGACATGACAACTTGTAAAAATTTTAATCATCAATGCCAAACCACGAGTCTGTCAATAGAAATATCAATACTACTCAATGCAGCCTGATCTTAAGAAAGTGGTCAAACATATTATACTGAAAAAGTAAAAGTTGCTTATAGCTCCTTCTTTAGATAATACATACTGGCAAATGCTATATGTATAGATTTTTTTTATAAATATTTTGACAGATTGCCAATAGGCTAATATTTCTTGAATGCTGGACATAAAATAAATTTAAATAGTCAATGTAGTGTTGCCATCTCATCATCTGTAATGCTTTCTGTCATTTTCATATGTTCAAACAGCTTTCTTCATACATAATAACGGTTGTTGACATATATTTTGAATAATTTTATTTAGAACGGTTGATGTGCAACACCAATTTACGTGATAGTGGAGGTTCACTTTTACAGTGAAGTTAAAAATATTTTCATTCAACGAACAAGTCTAGCCCTATGTGGGCCTCCACTGCTATCTAGACTGACGTTGTTCCTTTTCTTAGTGCTTGAGATAGTGATTGTAGCACGTCTCCCTTCCAAATCATGCTTATGTTGACTTTAGCATCGAAGGTGTGTCCTCAAGGTCATGAACGAGTACATAGAGAGGTGAATGATTTGTTGGAATTTCTTTGAGATTTTGATTATTGAAACTAGTCGAATTGTAGCTTAACAAGGTTCAATTTATCATGGATAGTTGTCCTTGGCGTACCTCGTGAGTTTATGTTCATGTTCTTGGTGTAATAAATAATAGGTTTTCATTATGGGACTGAAATGTATGAATACTGTTGAAATATTTTTAATTGAATCATGAAATGAAATGAACTCTGTTGAAATGTAATAAATAAAATCATTCCTCAATTGAAAGAGATGAATATTTTTACTTGAATCGAGAAATGAAATGAACTTTAACTAGGGTTTCTTTGCGAGTTCAAGAAGAGAGTGGCGATCAAATGTGTTGTAGGCATGTGTAGGAATATTATCATGCTCAATTATCTATTGTGTTTTGTTACCCTGCTCTCCATCAATTTCCCGTATATAAAAAATTTATCCTTTAGTTTAACCTCGTGATTGATCATCTGCGGGGATCAATATATGTCGATTATTTTCATTGATTTAAAGAATAACTTTTGACAGCCTTCCTTTTTTTTTTTTTTTCATTGTAGAACGTATGATTAAAAAAAAAAAATCATAGAACTTTTTCCTTTTTTTATTCATCAAAACTATAGCTTGTAGCCCAGGACTAGGTGGATAATTGATACTTATAGCCCATGTCTGGGAGCAATTATTTTTTACACAAAATATATTTTTTGATTGTTGGAATGGGGCCGATCTCTGCCAAAATTGACACCACAACATTTGACCACTCAAATACGTACCATATTATGCCAATTGTCATTTCTGCCCTTAATTTCTAGGCAAGGTTAAAATCATAAAGGGACACTCATGTCATTTTACACGCCCACAACATTGGACCATTCAAATGGTCACCGTAATGGGTCAACAAGTACTGCATATCCAAATCCCACTTACTTTCTCAAACGGTAAAAAAAATGAATTAAAATTTAGCCAAAATGGCTCACAGACAACCTCATAGTATGGTCGTCCAACTTTTGTTATTGAATCTTGGACAATTTAACTTCATAAATCGTTTTCTCGACGGATTTTATCTTCTTGTCGTGCAAATCTTCCTCAATAGGGAGAAGAATGAGACTGAGAATAGTTTGTTTCGTTGAAGAGCTGGCTTCGCTTCCATCTTTAATTTTCTGAAAGGCAAGGCGTAGACCATTGCTTAATATATTTAAATATTGGTGCGACCTATATCTTCCTGAACCATTTGATGCACTATAATAGCATATCTCTTCGCCCCCTCTCCTCACTCAATCACATGCTTTTTGTATGTGAAAATTTTAGCCGGACAAAAACTTTTGCATTTCAATCTTCAAATTTGGAAGAGATTATTCATAGTTTTTCCAAGCTTATAGATGAGATATTTACAGCATTTCCAAACTTCTAAGTAAAAAGTTGCAGTATAAAATAAATAACCTCTACTTATCATAAAATTTTAGAAGCAGTAAAAGTTAAAATAGATTATACAATATGATTTCATAGAAAAACAATATTAAAGTAAAGAGTAGGATTTAGAAAAATTGAATTGTCAATTTAACAGGTTTAAGGGCTTCAGGCCCTTTTAATTCATTGCATCCTCAAATTTTCAGATCCTCGTCGGAGATCTTGAATGAGGTAAACAACGGTAAGCCAATTACCATAATAACCAAGATCAAAAGAGACGGTGTGCAAATTTGAAGAAAAGTAAAGAGTAGGATTTAGAGAAGAATATCAAAATCTGAAACTTAAAGTTTTAGAATAAAGTAGGTGATGAGATAACACCAGAATTGTTGGGAAATTGGGAAATTTA